AAAAAGGTTGCGGCCGGTGGATGTTGCTTTATTACCGCCTATGTTTTCTCGCACAGGACTAGATCCAAATCATGTTTGTTAGAAACTTAGCTTCTGGGACCAATTTCCTGCAACAAAACAAACTTAAAAGCTTAAATTGACAAGAATAAGCAAAATCACCAAATTTAAAAACTTATTTTTGAGAATCAATTAACTCTAATTTTTCCATTTGCTTCAAATTGTGAATATATGATAATAGATCATATTTTCATATATTTTTATCCTATTCACTGGGTCTTTTTATTGATTAATTATGACTAATTAAGATTAATTAAAATATATTCTATTTTATCAGTCACTTTATATTTTGTGAGAATTAATGGATTAAATCTTCAAAATTATATCACCATTTAATATTTTTTGCACATGTCGCTATTAAATATTATTTTTTTGTGCAGATTTTTTTTAGCTAAATTGAAGATCAATAATATGCACGGATTATTGAATTGAAAAGGAAGGAATATAAATATTAATTGAAAAATGCATAAGTGTTTGGGAATTGGGAGAGAAGGAGTAGAGGCCGAACATGAGAAACTCGAGCTTCTTCTTCTTTTTCTTCTCTTTACTTTCAACAATTTCTTCTACCCTCATAGCTGCTAGATCTTGTTCAATTTTTAGAGCCATGGGTTCCAATTTATTTGCATGTTATTAGCTACAATGTTCTAACTAGGTTTGTAACATGAGTCTTATAATTATAATGGAGACTTTGGGTTGAAATTCTTGTCTTATTTCCCTCATTTTTGGCATTTTTTTTGTTGTAATTTTTTCTATGCTTCATTTATGTTCAGCTTTGAACATAATATATTTTGTTATTTGAGGGATTATACTGTTCAAATTTGAAGTATGTTTTAATGGAATTCTTAGATATGAAAATTTTGTCAATTAATTTGTTTATTTATGTGAGTGTTGCAAACTTTATGTTTTCCAGATTTGGATACACACACACACACACACACACACACACACACACACATATTGCTACATTTCTTGGATATTGAGATGCCATAAGCTTCTTGGTGATTGATTAGAGGTTTGAGAGGGGAATTAGAGGAGGAAATTAATGACTTTTTCCTATTTATAAAAAATTCCCAAATTAATTGTTACTTGAGTTTAGTTTGAAGTTTAAGTGAGATGTTATTGAATTTTGAATTGGATAATGGCATAAACCTTGAAGGAACATTCAAGAATTTAAGTTGAAATTTTGCTTACGAATTTAATTTAGACAAGAACCATTGCAGATCAGGGGAAGAAATTGTAGTTAATTGCATTTGTCATATTAACTTCTAGTTAATTGTTAAGTATCTCTTGTTTGTCCTATTTTGTTAATTAGATATTTTAATTTTCAGTTTCAAAACCCCCTGCTTAGTGTTTTAAATTAACCCTTGTTTTAGTTGTCAAAAATCCTAATTTACTTGGATAATTATTTGGTTCCTTGGGAAACAATCTGGATTGTTTTATATTGCAAATCTTGAAAATTATTTTTATCTTGGTGCTATTCTACAATAGTATCACATAACATCTATCATCAAATACCAACTCACACACCAAAACAACACTTACACACGCTTGCTAGGGAGACACCGTTGAGAAAAATGCTTACTAAAGGCCAAAGAAGCTTTCATGGAAGGAGAGAATTTTTAAGGAGAGAGGGAGAGTTTGTTAGAGGTAATTTAGTTTTTTTACTTTTAAACATATTGCTAGCGAAGAACTTCTTCTTGGAAAATCTTACAGGTTCCTCTCCTTGTAAGGTCTCTCTTGTCTAATCACAATTAGTTAACAAAGTTCAAAGTAATCAAGAGATTACCAAGTTTGAAATTTATATAAATGGTATATCAAGTTTTCATAGTTTAAAATAACTCAAAACCATTTATTAAACTATTAATTAGAGTAAAATAATGTCATGGAAGCATGGAATACCTTATATAAGTAAAATAATTTGAAAACAATTGAAAAATTATCATAGTCTGAAAAACAGAGCAATACATCGTGGCTTTGTGCACATGTGATGTGGTTGTTCTCTTTTGTGCCATGCCCTGTGACAAAGGCACCATGCATGTTTTTTAAAGCAACTTTGCTGTCACATGATAGCAATTTTTAGACAACTTATGATGTGTCCCAATTCTCCATTCGACATTTGAATAAGATAATCTAAGTATCTATATAAAGTTCTTTTTATAAACTAGCTAATGACACAAATTTTACTTTCAAATTAAGTCACACGAGAAAGTTAGACACCTAAATATATTTTCAACTCTATTCACAAATCAAGGGTGTCTAAAACCCCATACAAGTGCCGAATACCCTTCTTAACACCCAAACTGTACTAAATAGAGTCATGACTACCTGTACAACATGCCACATGCATATTTACAACATAATATCAAATTTTTACTTCTGAACCCCTTAATATAAAAAATTAAAAGGAGAGGCATTATCATTATATTTCATAATAAATCTTCAATATCATGATTAAATCAATTTTATTACACTAGCATTAGTATTTTGGCCTTAACAACAATTGCAATTTATCATAAACAACATCCCAAAGCCCAAAATATATTCCAGACATCATAAACAACAATATAGTATAAGTGTAAATAAAATACATCCTAACTAGCAATATACTTATTTATTGCACAAAATTATTGGAGACAAGAGGCTTTACAATAAGAACCCTAGATTTCTAAGCTTCTAGAAGCTTTTTCCTTATTACACCAGAGCTAAAGCATGTAAAATATTAAAATGAAAGGGTGAGTCTAGACACTCAATAACCAAGGTATATTTACCCCATATAATTATATATCAATTAAATAAATACACATAAATAGAGTTGATTTTCTCAAAATACATGTACTATCACATGCAACACAAACTGTCATTTCTCAATTTAACTCATTTTCATAATTCTCATCTTGAATCACACAGCACATTACCACAAGACACACAAACATGTGATAATGACTCAATCTATTATCATGACTCACCACAAAATTAAACAACTGTATGACACGTCAAATAAATACATATACATGATCAACCATCCTTACGTCTTCCTTATTTCCTCCGACTAAAATTGTTGGCTATAATATTTAGCAAGGCTTGTCCGTGTGACTGAACTACCTAAGCTCATCAATTGTGAAGTATAACCCGACTAAAGATTACAATACTTACTCTCAGACCACAATTTTCCTTACTTTTAAAATTTTCAGGTGTCTTATACCCTAAGCTAAACCTCCTTACCAACCTGATAGAAATAGCTAGGTTATAGTCCTTCGATAAATTATGGGACAGTCCCTCGATAAATAGTAAGATAAGGCTATATCTTTATGCATTGAAAGTCGACCGTAAATACCATATGAATTTTAACTATTCTTCTTCTTAGAAAAACTCCCACTAATTGATCATGCCATGTACGATACTTACTCATTTTATAACTTTATTATTTCAATATTAACACGTTAGGCTTATGAAAATACGTTACTCAAGTGCACATAAATCTCATTTTTACATGCACCACATATATTTATCATTTTCAATCTTAACACAATTATCTTACCCCATTATACTTAATCACAAATCAAATTTATCATATCAATCATCAACCACTCGTTCCAATACTATATTATAATTTAAAATTCATTTCAAATTCATTTTTGCATTTTTGTTCAATTAATGTAAATATGCTAACTCATATTTCTTAGCATATTTACACATTCACAAATCACAATTGTACATGCAAATAAATACATTTCACTTTACAACACAATTAATAAATAATAACCCAAAATATGGTTTCCTCAGTTACCTAAACCTTTAGGAGGTCAAAGATTTTTTCCTCAATAACTTACTTCCAAGCTTGCTTTTAAAGCTAAATACGGTGCCTGAACAATTAATCTACAATTAATTAAGTCCAACTCATCAACACTGTCAAATATACACTTCCAAATTCTCACTTTACACTTTTAAAATACTCAATACTCTTATTTCTTACATTGAAATCTATCCTTTGGGTATATTAACTCTTTTTAGCTTTTAATAGCTTTATTAAACTCTCACACTATCATTAATGGCTTAACAACCTTCATAAATTTTAGATTTAATGGCCATTTTCGGACATTAATAACATTCACCAACCAACACATCTAAAACCCTTAGTACTAAGTTTAAATACTCTAAACACTTCTCATTAACTTCATTTGAGTCAATGAATTTAGATTTATAATCTATATAAACTGAAAATTATCATCTCCATTTAAACCCTAACTCAAATCTTTGAGAAAATAGATTGAGAGGGGAGAAGAAGAGATTAGAAAACTTATTTTTAAGGTTTGATAACTTCAAAATGTCTCTAACCTTCTTGAAATTGAAGCCTTAACAAAGTAAGGATGAGCTCCTTCGTCTTCCCTTTCTTCCTCTTCTGATTTCTATCTTAGTTCACAAGTCACTTATTAGATATTTTGGCCATGCTCGATGACACATGGCAATAAGAAGTCCTCTTTGTTGCTATCACTTTATGTGCTACGGCGAACTTGCTATACGTCAAGACATGTGGCACAAAGATTCCTTCTTCGGCTGTTCTCTCTTTTTAATGCTAAGATGGCCTAATTTCACTTTGAACTCGTAATTAGGTCTGAAATCACAACCAAATACACTTATTAAACATCTTTAGCCACACATCACATCAAATTACTCAATCATCATGATTAAACATAGTTAATTTAAGGTTAAATTCTTTAAAATATTACACTCGACGATTAAATTTGTGGTCAGGTACTTTTTTAGTAAATTTCCCAAAATATTCAAGGGCGGCTAATCAGCTATGACTTGCCTCTGCTCATAGGCCCATCACTTAAGCCCGGGTCCATTCGCTGGTGGGCTGGGCATCTGGGATCAATATTCTAGTCCGTATCATTTTAAATCGCCGGTGGTCTTTAGCTGCGTATTGGCGGTTCTAATTTTTCCGGGTATATTGGTGTCGTTTGGCTGGTTTGGTTCTCATCTCGGCAGCACTCTTCATCAGTTCGTCCTCGTTCCCCTGTGGAGCTGCGTACGGACGACATCGCGGCAGACGGGTGGAGCAGCCCCAGTAATTGGCGGGAGCAACAGCAGTAATGGATCGTGATTGGGGTTCAAAGCCTGGCAGTGGGGGCGCTGCCTCCGCCCAGAATGAAGCCATCGACCGTCGTGAGCGTCTCCGCCGACTCGCCCTCGAGACAATTGATCTTGCCAAAGACCCCTACTTCATGCGCAATCATCTTGGCAGGTCCTCTCTCTCTTCCTTTTTTTGCTCAACATCCCTGCACTCAGTATTTCTCCTTGTGCTTCTCATATTGAACTGCTTCTAGGTTTCTCTTTGTATTCACTGTTTTTTTTTTTTGAAGCTATGAGTGCAAACTTTGTCTCACTTTGCACAATAACGAAGGGAATTATCTGGCGCACACACAGGGTAAGCGGCATCAGACCAATTTGGCTAAGAGAGCAGCTCGTGAGGCCAAAGAGGCACCCGCCCAACCTCAGCCCCACAAGCGTAAAGTCTCCGTTCGCAAGACAGGTAAATCTTTTATTTTGAATTTGGTTAAGTAGAATGTTGTTTGATAGATATATTTTAGATGTCATTATCATCCTTAGCCAGGAGGGTTGGGCTTTGCTTTGCTGCAATGCTTTCTGGAATGGTACGAGGATAGGTGTAGATTTCGATATTATGTTAGCCAGACAGTTAGGTTCCTCTGTCGATCAATCTGGATAACTAGTGTGTATTAACTGCATCTCTATGCTTTGCTTTGGTGTTTCTTGACGCTTTTGTACATTTAACTTGAAACTCGATAGATGTAGGGAAAATACATTTACTTTTTTGTTTAACTCAAGCAAATTTTCTTTTTATTATCTTCTTGAATAAATAAAAAGAATTATTTCATGGATATTCAATGTGTTGACAGTGAAGATTGGTAGACCTGGGTACCGAGTGACCAAGCAATATGATCCAGAGACAAATCAGAGATCTCTTCTTTTCCAGGTGTTCCGTCAGCTCAGTGTGATCCTTTTCTAAAAAAAATAAAATAAAATTCTTTTAACATCAGATAATACTATTTTATTTATTTTTACATATGCTTTGTAACGTAGATTGAATATCCTGAGATTGAAGACCTAGCAAAGCCAAGGCATCGATTTATGTCTTCTTATGAGCAGGTAGACCCTTATTTTTTTGATATAATTTCTTCTAATAGCTTCTCCTGTCTTTAAGGTTTTTACTAGCAATTTTTTTGGTCAACTATGAGTAATTTATTATAATTAACTCTTGCCTGCATTTTATCAATTGTGTTTGAAAAACCTGAGCTAGTATTTTGTTTGTTTTTTAAATTTTTGATCATATTTTCATGGACACAGAGAGTGCAACCCTTTGATAAAAGATACCAGTATCTTTTGTGCGCAGCTGAACCATACGAAATCATTGCTTTCAAGGTATGTCATTGCCGTTGTGAATGGCTCACCTATGCATTTCACTGTTTGTGCTGATTATTCTACGTTTTTAGGTTCCCAGCACAGAGATTGACAAGTCAACTCCAAAGTTTTTCTCACACTGGGACCCAGACACAAAGATGTTTACGGTCAGTTGTTTTATTCTTTCCTCCAACGGGTTGATATCTTGACTGTAGATGTTGGATTTGTGCATATCTTTGTCTGACATTTGTGGGATCAGTAATAATGTTGATGAAGTCTCGCTTTCCATTGATGAAGACATTCCTGATCATCACCCCCTCCTTTTGAAATAAATTTTGAAAATGAAAACAAATCAACAGTATTTAACCAATTTTTATATTTTTCAAGAAAATTAATGCTTAGGCATGTACAAGTAATAGATACAAGCTGATGATTCTGGTGTGTAAAACTTTTGACACTATTAAGCATACTTCAATTGCCAGAGTGGTAACTTAAAAGCAAACCTTGATGCGAAGTGTGAATCGAGTAAATGAGCTGCAGATGAGAACTGCAGATTGTTTTTATCTCTGCTGTCTAATATGAACAAGGGGGTGTTAAATCTGCAGTTGCAATTGTATTTCAAACCGAAGCCACCAGAGGCAAACAAACCCCAGCCTACCTCAGCAGCCAATAGCACAGCTGCACCGGGTGTTCCAGCAAGGCCTATGCCTCCACCATCTCAAGCTCCACCACCGCCACCTCCTCCGCCTCAAGGCTTACCACCTAGTGTGCTTCTTGGAAATCCTCCCAGAGCTCCACCACCTCCGATGCCTGGATCATTGCCCCCGCCACCCCCACCTATGTCAAATGGCCCTAGATCTGCATCTTCTGGTGGAATTGCTTCTATCCCACCTCCACCTCCTGTTGCCAGCAGCGCAACAGCAAGTTTCAACATGGGTACTAGGCCTCCATCTATGCCACCTGGGCAAGTTTTTCCCGGACAACAAATGCAGGGCCAGGTTGCTCATCCGCCACCGCCGCCGCCTAGAATGGATAATTTAATGTGAGAGCAACATGTCTTTCTGGACCAATGGAGCGATGCTATTGGGTTCTAAATGGGTAGATGATTGACTGAGAACTGTAACTAAGCAGTAAGCCCTTTGGTCTGAAGACAAAAGGAACTGTTAGCCATTTTAGAATTGTCTGTGTAATGTTCTTTTGATCTGCGTCTTCATTGATTTTTAATACAAGTTACGATTACGATTTGGGTGTATAAACTATAAAGTCATCTAATCTAGCATTGTGCCTAACGAGTGTGTGTGTGTGTGTTACAGGGGGTATTATTCGTAAATTATGAATTATAAAATTTTCTTTATTTTTTTGGTTATTTCATGCAATTTTTTTTTTTTAAATGGAAGTGTCTAGTTATTAAATTACCACATTTGGAGGGAAATATTAGGGCATAGCATATGCCTATAAGCTCGTTTGATATATATATATATATATATATTTAACCCAAACAAGATTTCAGATCTTGTAATGGTCTTTTTACTCCCGTCTGAGGCTTGGACACCCCCCAAACCTCAGTTAGGGGATAGGCCAAAACACATCCTATGTCTGATAAGGGTATCATACTTTATCAGTTCAGTTACCCCGGGGGCCTTTCCAGATCAGCATTTACCGACCGGGATCCAACGATTGTCCGAGGACATTGTGTCGTTTAATTGACTTCATATTTACGGTTTGAAGATTCATCCTTAACTTATTTCTTGCAAACATTTTCGTAAACGTTTTTAGTTCATACCGACGGTTGATGCTTTGTAAAGGAGAAATTCAAATATTCCCTTAATGAACCTCCTGATCTGTAAAACCTGGCTAAAATTGCCTGTGCATTTGCATATGCTTTATGTTTGAATCAAAAAATATAATTATTGATCATTATAATTTTATTGATTAAACCCTTATAATTTTTTCAATGTTTTTAGTCTTTGTAAGGATTAAAAACATTGAAACTATAAAGACTTGAGTAATAAATGTCACGTTGAAATTATAAAGATTAAAAACACTAAAAAAAAACTAGACATTAAAAGTAGTATCTAATAAAACTATAGGATTGAAAATTATATTTTTTCTTTTTAAATTTATTTGTCCATTTGTTCTGTTGACGGAGTAGTTCAAGTTTCAATGTCATCCTTCAATTTGGTGCAATTTTTTTGACATGGAAGCAACATGTAAAAATTTAAAATATAGATTTAAGTTTGGATTCAGATGGAGAATGAGTGTGGTTAAGTGGGGTAAAACTATTGACCCAAAAAAAAAAAAAACAGTGGAGTAAAACTAACTCTTCCCCCGGAAACCAACAGGTGCATTCAATTCATGGTATGATAATAACAAGTGATCTAGTTTCCCTGAACTAGCAGCAAAATGAATAGCCCTGCCAGAATATTCGGATCTTTTTCACTCTGCACAAAAGAAACAAGGCCAGCTTCTTTCCACATAACATAAGAAAACCGAGTAATTATAATCTCCTTATGACAACACTGAGAAGGACTAAAAATGAGCATTAACAGAAATTACCTTGGCATGACATGATTTAAGCTACAATAGACGAGACAATACACAAATAAAAAGCCAACTATATATTATTTAAAAAAAAAAAAAACTTTGAGTGCGCGGGAAGATAAAGGACAAAGGGCGAAATCAGGCCATGAATCTTTACAAACTAAAGAAGATAAAATTAGACCCACCCAATTGTTAGGGTCATCTACCCCAATACTTACAATATCTGATAAATTTTCTTCTCACTAACACAATCACCAAGGTGTCCGTGGCCCAGCAGCCACTTACTAGAGACATCCAAGAGCGTGCCCAAAAGGGGGGCAAATGCCTAGCAAAGTCCATCAGTTGAATTTAACCTCAACTTTAACCCGTCATTGCATTTGGTGGGAACACTTTCTGAATAAATTCCAAGAAGCGACGTGAGTAGAAAGTAGGGTCCACAGCTGAGATCGACAATGAATCAAACTGGAGAGATTTATACGCATGTTCAATCTTCTTAGTCATATTGTAATCTTGCAATATGTCGATGATGCCTAGGTACAGAACAACGTCATATGCCTCATGGAACATTTGTTTCTCCTGTTTTCCTGGAATCAGCTCTGCCCTCGCAGGCATGTTGACACCTAGCTGGATTTGAAGTCTGCTTAACAAGTTGTGAAGAGAGAAAAAACCTCAGTCTCGAAAATTTCATAAAACTTATCCGTCTAGTGAAAAGGAAAATTTTGATATTAAGTGACGTGAATAGGTAGAAAAAAGAACAAAACAATGAGAGATCATTTCCAAAACGATTAGCATGTAGCAGTAGTTAGGAATCTCATCTAAGGGAAAATTCATGTGTGAACTGCAATAAATTACAGAGTGTTTTAGGATCCATAAAGTTTCCAGTCACTGGGGAGAACATGAAAAGTTTGTTTGCAATTCAATTTGTAGTAAGGCATTCCATGTACTTTGGAATTAATGTATCAAATCCCAGCCTTGGAAAAATAATTAAAAAAATCACAGGTAAGATGAGGAGAGCTACAAACTTAAAAAAACAAAAACAAGTGTTTGGTTACGCATTTAAAAGTGCCATTAGACAATTTGTCAACAACAGTGAACGTAATTTTCTCTATAATACACATTAAAGTAATGACACAACAGATTGCGCAAGAGCACTATGACAGAAGTAACATAACGAATTGATAACAAGGCCATTTGAACTCGTAAACAAACCATACCTTGCTGTACCAGGTAGAAGGAGATCCACTTCTTCATCACCAGCAGCTGAAGCTCGCAAACGGCTACCCCTTATGTGAGGGCCCACGACAACACTACTATCATCGGCTCCCCGAGGGACCAGAACAAGGCCTTCTGGGTAGTTGGATACTTCATCCTCTAGTGGGTCTGTCGGTTGATCAGGAGCAGTGTATTAAATTAATTAGTTTCAAGTCCATGATCTAACAGAAAAGTAAGAATAGATGACATATATAAGGAGGGAAATTCTCGTATTGTGGGAACTAGTGCTCCTAATAATTTGGACTCGAGGGTGATACTTATACTATACGGCATATAAGTGTTATTGCCCAGATTTCTTATCACGGCTAGACCAAACATGATGATAGGCAAAATTCTAAGCTGAAGCCTTTTAGAATCCCGAACATCATAAACTTTAAGTAGAGAAACTTGGCTTTAGTTATGCCTGTCATATGTTACAAATTATAACATAGAAATTTATTTTTATCATGGTTAGGTCAAACAAAGGCCAGCCTGGGACCGGAAAAAATAGATAGCCCCACGAGAATTAATCCCCTTTACTGCCTAATGGTTAAATAAGTAGTGCTTGTAGCATCTGTTGGTTACACTCAAGGTTGGGGGCATGACATTGTCCTTCCACGGCACATCATCTGAATTACACAAGAAGCATGTAAAGCCACACCTTGTATATCTGTTTTCGTGAGTTGAATCTAATACCCACCTTCCTCAGCAAGCATTGCTAATCCATCTGTATTGACACTTTGGTTGTGGGACAGGAGAGAACGCAGGTGTTGGGGAGCTCGATAGTGTACACCAAGAAGAAGGCTGTAATCCATAATGTGTTGTGCTTCCAAAAACTTACTGTCTGTTTCAATCTGCCTGCGAAAAGTACAAGAGGAAATATTCCATATTTGCTGTTAGGGTCCAAGCTTCAAATTTTGCACAATCGATATTGCTGCTTTTTGGCAGTTATTGCTTCTAAAAGGCAACAATTTAAGGGGGGGGGGGTAAAGGATTCATTTCGTAACAAAAGTTCACATTTATAACATACAATACCAAAATATGTGTGAAGAGCTACGCTGACCCATGGGACAATGGCTTCAAGAACTCATAAAGTGCAGTATAATAAGATATACATATTTGTTTTCTATTTGCTCCTTGTTGCTTTGTCTAAGGACAATATCCCATTCTTTTCCCTCCTCTCATAATACTCTTTTATCCTAAAATATGTCAAATGTAATGAAGGAGAAATGACAGAAGATTTTTTTAAACTACCACTTACGTTAACAAAGACTCTCGCCAAGATGGTTCCAAGTAAAAGCAGTAGCTCAGATCCAAATCTTTAAGAGTAGTACTCTCATCAATTTCTACCTTGTCTGACGAGCGTCCGAGGGATGATCCTTTTAAATCAAATCTCCGATGGATCCTCAATTCTGTGCAAAACATATTTCCCATTACAACAAAGCGGAACTGCACAACAATTTTTATATACACCCATTAGCCCGTTGCTCAAAGGATACACAGATTATTGAAGTCATTTTGCATGAAATATGCAAACTATGATAGAGTCCAATCTTTGAGGGAGTAAATAAACTGCGTGTACTAAAATTCTAGGTTGCAAGTATAAAGGTCAAAGTCCTCCTATTAACAAGCATTACTATGACTCTGAAAAATGACTTGGGCACAGAAAAATGCCGCTGGGTCAAAATGAGTGTTACCTTTTGCCCACTTGAAGGTTTAATCCTGTGAAGACCAAAGAATTTTGTGATTAGTGTGTTCTCATATGACTTCACATGATGATGATAGTCTGGAAGCATTCTTAGAAGAACCTACAAGACAATTTTCTGTCAGTTGTATCTGAATTTTACAACGAATATAAAGGAACTAGCAAAAAGCGAGTTGATATCATTGCCAAATATGATATTAACAGGTTTGTTTTCCATTTCACATAAGAATGATGCCACAAACTTGTAGGAGATTATTTCTATTACTTAAAGATAAATTATCCATGCAAATTTTTAAGAAATTATACCCAAAAAAAAAAAAGATCACTGCTGCCAGAATTATCATGCAAATTGCAACCTGTGCACGGTTGAATAGGATTAACCACACCAACTGTCAGTGGGTCCTTTCTAATGACAACCTGTGCATGGTTGCACATGCCAACTAGAAACTTTGCTTTGAAATTCCCTGAACGATACTGGTAAACCTACACAGGCATGGAAGCTTCCTGAATTTCACGTGTTTACTATTACCTTCAATTTTTTGTCTTCCTCTGAAACATTGAACAAGGGTTTCTTAATCAATGACCATGAAAAATGTGAGGAGATTATGGTTACGTGTTTGCTACACAGATACAAATGAAGCGACAAGAAGACGAATCCTCCTTGAAACTTGCAATATGTATTGGGGAAGAAAATTATAACATGCGGCAACTATGAAAGAAGTATTGAGTCCCTCAGAAACTTGGGCTAGATTAATTATTTTCCAAAGCATATTCTGTCATTCTGCTGCACATATTGATTTCTAATTCCGCAATGTCTATGCATTGAAAAGCCAACAGGTGAACTAAGGTGCAAAGGATAAATAAATTGGGGTCCACTAAGGATAGAAGAAAATTAAAAAGAGATATGCACAACATGAAATTATGAGATATTTCATATATGATGCCCTTGAGTGTCAATCTCAAAAACCTTCCTTGGTCAAAATCTGATAGAGTACCGATTATGGTGGGATAATGGATAATTTGAGAAGTTAAAAATATATTAGGAATAAATAATATTTTCTTTTATCTTAGACATTTTCTATTTAATAATATTGTTTATATTTTATTTAGATATTTAGATATCTAGATATTTCTAGTTATTTAGATTTTATTCAGATATTTAATTCTTAGATTTTATTCAGTATTTTATATAGACAAAGATTCTAGGAGATTTTATTCAGTTTTATTTAATTATCTAGTTATTTAGATTTTATTCATTATTTTAGATTATATTTAGCGATATAAATATGTTTAGCAACTCAGAAGCAGGCATATCATGAATGCAACATACTTTTGAGACTTTTGGCCCTTTGAAAATTCTTCTAAATAGAATTATAGAATGAGATTCTTATTATATATCATTTTGATATATTTATTTTGTCTATTTGCTTCTATTAGTTCTATGTTTTCTTATTAGTGTTGTGAAATTAGATTCCGATTTCATGTATTAATAGAGATTTATCTTCCTTATTTCTCTCTACCCATCTTGGATCCTATCATTTGGCATCAAAGCCATTCGATCCTTAATAGAATCCTACCACCTCTACACTACTTCTACAACGTCAACCTCACCACCTATCTCAACATGCATTTCCTTATCTAACCATTTTTCCTTGTTCATGAAAGGCACCTATTCCTTTACACCATAGCTCACCCTGATGTTTTTAATTCTACCATCAGGGGTCCACCAATTATGCTAACTAGCAAACAAATCAAAGCCAGCCAAATTCATTTAGGCATTAAGGGAGATATGAAAATTCAGAAACACAAAACTCCTCAACCTAAAAGTGTGTACAAGCACTTGAGTTTAGCTTGAAACAGTGAATCTAAGGTTCAACACTCTCATGGTCCAAAAGGAGTGCAACAACCTAGTCAAAATGAAACATTCTTGATTGGAAATACATTCGTTCACGAGGCTAAGGAGATGAGTCCTTCTGTCCATCTCTTAGACACCCCAACAAACTCCAAGCCTTCTGTTTCAAAGCTTGAACATGGCAAAGAACTCATCTCTCCTTCAAAAAACAACACTAGAGTCAAGATAGTGCTAGAAAATGCACCACCTTCCTTTGCTGCGGATTTAGGAAAACTGCTCCACAATGATGAAGCTTTAAGAGACCTTCTTTGAGCTCAAGGTTCTAAACTTGGTGGATAGTGGGTCTAACTACAACTTTATCCTTTAAGTTTCCATGCAACCTCTTGTTCGACCTTTTGGAACCCACATTGGAGATGCTACCATTTATCTATTACTCCCATCTCAACATTTAGATACACAAGAAAGCTATTGCCTATGTCTCACCTTGAGGATGAGGCGAATTTTCAAAGGCGGAATATTGATAGAGTACTAGTTATGGTGGAATAATGGATAATTTGAGAAGTTAAAAATATATTAGGAATACATAATATTTTATTTTATTTTAGACATTTTCTATTTAATAATATTATTTAGATTTTATGTAGATATTTAGTTATCTATATTTTATTTATATATTTAGATATTTCTCTATATATCTAGTTATTTAGATTTTATTCAAATATTTAGTTCTTTAAATTTTATTTAGTATTTTATATAGATATAGATTCTAGGAGATTTTATTTATTTTTATTTAATTCTCTAATTATCTAGATTTTACTCATTATTTTAGATTGTATTTAACATTATAAATATGTTTAATAACTCAAAAGCAGGCATATCATGAATACAACAGACTTTTGAAACTTTTAGCCATTTAAAGATTCTCTAAGCGTGTTTATTAAGACAATTATAGAACGAGATTCTTGTTCTATATAATCTTGATAGATTTATTCTGCTTATTTTCTTCTATCAATTTCATATTCTCTTATTAGTATTATGAAATTAGATTTTGATTTCATATATTCATAGAGATATATCTTCCTTATTTCTCTCTACTCATCTTGGATTCTATCAAAATCAATATCCATATCTTGAACTCCACATGATGAAAGAATCAGAAGTGTAATAGTCTTTAAGGGTAGTATGGGAATATCTGAATCTATTGTAAATATTAAAACTGATTATAGGGGATATTCTAGCCTGATTATCAGGGATCATTGCTGATTAGTAGGAGTTATTAGTATTTATTAGTTTGTCTCTAAACTTTGTACATATATACTTGTTGTAATTCATACTTTAAGATCAATGAGAGTAACATTTTCTTCTTCTAAATTTCCACATGAAATTAGAGCATCAAGCTTGAAATAAAATTTAGGGTTTATTTTCTGGGATGGATCGCATAAGGGATCCTGTACAGCACCTAAGGGCATTCATGTGGACCTTGGTGGAGCTTGTTTAGACTCTCACCACTAGCCCTAGGGAGATCAGGAGGTTTCAACTGGCCAAACACCAAAAAATGATGCCCAATGGCGGCATGTGTGAGCTACACATGCCCCCATAAAGTTCTGCACTAGTGCCATTCGCATGGCACATGGAGGCATGGGTTCACCTAAGACCAGTGACAGTTAATTTTTTTGACGACGATATAACATTTATGGTCAGATCTTGTCCACTCCGACTTCTGGGCACACTTATTTCACATCTTCTCGATCACGTGTACTTGTTTCTGTGCTGTGTTTATATATTTATGGGATTGTGGCTTTTGCACCCATGTTATCATGAGAGTGTATTCCTATTCACAATAATGGGGGTACTCTTGTGGGCTCTCTCGAATATAAGATGCATCATGTCCTAGTCTACACGTACGGCGACAGTGGCAAAATGGGAGATTCCTTCAAGCTTTAACAACTTCACAAAATAAAATAATATGGTTTGTTGATTCTGAAGCCTCAAATCATATGACTAATTGTCACCAGTTTTTTACCACTTACACCTAATGTGCTGGGAGTATTAAAGTGAAGATTGCATATGCCTCTCTAGCACGGTGCTGGAATCCATACTTCATGTGCCTAAACTTGATTGCAATTTACTTTTGGCTAGCCAATTGACAAAGCAGTCACATTGTTATGCTGTATTTCTTCCATCTTATCGTGTGTTTCAAGACCTATCATCTGGAACGACAATTGGAAGTGCTAAGGAGCACGAGGAGCTCTACTATTTCAAAGTCCCCAACCGAGTGAGTACCTCACCAATAGTCAGTAACTCTACATCTACCTCTAAAGTTAATAATTTCATGCTGCGGTATAAGAGGATGGGTCGTCCTAATGTTTATTACCTTCAATGATTGTTCCCAACTCTATGTCCCAACTTGAATATTAATGCCATTCATTGTAAAGTGTGTGAACTTGCTAAACACCATAAAACGTCCTCTCCCAGAGCCAAATACACACTTACCAAACCTTTTACAACTATTCATAGTGACTTGTAAGGACCATCTCGTACACCCAGTCACACTAAAACTACATGGTTCATTTTCTTTATTGATGACCACACTCATGTTTGTTGGGTTTACCTTTTACAAAAGAAGTCTGAGGCTGCATCCACATTCATGAATTTCTTTAACATGATCAAAACCCAGTTTAACACCACCATCCATGTCTTACACACTGACAATAGCACTGAGTATTTTAACCAATCTTTGAGTACCTTCCTCTAAGTACACGGTATTGTGCATACCAGTTATTTTGCTCATACACCTCAACACAATGGGGTTGCCGAAAGAAAAAATCACCACATCTTTGACGTTACTAGAGAACTCATGTTTGCCTACAATGTGCCTAAGTTTTATTAGGGGGATGCCATTTTGACTGCAACCTACCTCATCAACTGTATGCCCATTCAAATCTTATCCTTTAAAACTCCTTTCTACAAATTGCAAAGTAATTTCTCTACATCTCATCTTGAAACTACTCTTCTACTCGTGTGTTTGGTTGCACAACCTTTGTCCATAACCACCAAAGCACCAAACTTGAACATCGAGCCACCAAATGCATATTCATTAGCTATTCTCCTGCTTAGAAAGGATATAAATGTTTTGATCCCGTTACAAAACACACATTCATCAGCCTTAATGTCACCTTTCATGGAGCTACTCCATTCTATCCTAATTCTTCAATTTAGGGGGAAGAATAGGTGAATCTCAAACTTGGGAACAAGAACCTAATAGAGAACTAGCGCTTCTTGAGCCATGGTTTGAACCAATTGAACCATTATTGCCACCAACTTATAAACCATTACCTTCATTTGTACCTTAATCTATCCTTCCAGCAGCATCTTCTCTTATACCACAACTTAAGGAACACAAGCAAATAGGAGGAGATGCAGAAAGACCACAAAGAGGAGAACTATCTGTTTACACTCGAAAAAGGAGATTAAAAGATATGAGCAACCTATATCTAAAGCACCAAGAGAGTCAAAGTCAGAGCCAAAGGTAACTCTTGAGGCAGAAACTCTTGGAGACTTAGGTGATACAGAACAAGTAAGTGAATTCACTGATCTCAATTTCCCATTGCTATGAGGAAGCAACTGCGTTCTTGTACTTTTCATCTGATAGAGAGGTTTGTTTCATGTTATGCACTTTCTCCCTGATATCAGGCATTTGTTACTAATCTTGATAAGGTGAAGGTACCTGAGACTATACAGAAAGCCTTCAGCATCCTTGAATGGTGAAGTGTCGTCATAAAAGAAATGAGGGCCCTAGAAAAGAATGGGATATGGGAGTTGGTTCAACTACCTAAAGGAAAGATAATAGTAAGTTGTAAGTGGGTGTTCACCCCAAAATACAAGGTTGGTGGAACTCTTGACAAGTTAAAAGCTTGCTTGGTTGCAAAAGGGTTTACCCAAATGAATGGACTAGACTATGAAGAAATATTTGTTCCGGTGGCAAAATTGAACATTATCAAGTTTTATTGTCTGCGGCAGCTAATCTTAAGTAGGCCCTTCATCAACTTGACAAAAAAAATGCTTTTCTCCTGGGTTTGATAAAGATAGGGAAAAACAAGTCTATAAACTAAAAAAAGTCTATATATGGCTTGAAATAATCACCAAGAACTTGGTTTGACAAGTTTTCAAGGGTCCTAAAGTCCAAAGGTTACAAGTAAGCCATGTCGGAGCATACAATATTTGCTAAGGTTGAGGGAAGCAAGAAGTGCATTCTTACTATCTATGTTGATAACATAATACTACTAGAGATCACCTTAAAGAGATAGAGAGAGCAAAGACTACCCTTGGCAAGGAATTTAAGATCAAGGCTCTAAGAAGTTAAACAACTTTCTCAAGATGGAAGTTTCCTAGTCAAGAAGAGGAATATATGTTTCTCAAAGAAAATATATACTTAATCTCTTGATAGAGACAGGTATATTAGGCTGCAAACTTCTTGAAACTCCTATTGAATCAAGAAACCAAAGAAGCCTAAGGTAAATCAGGAATGTGAAGAAGAAAAGGAGGAAGCCAAAGAAAAGGAAGAAGCAGTTGACAAGGAGAGATATCAAAAGCTCGTTGGAAACTGATATATATCTCTCATATGAGGCCAGACATAGCATTTGCTGTCAATATGGTCAGTCAATATATGAGTTGTCCAATGAAGAGTCATATAGAGGCAGTCTATAAGATTATGAGATATACGAAAGGTGCTCTTGGTAGAGGCTTGTTCTTGAGAAAACGTGAGCAAAGATCTATCAAAGTTTACATTGATACAAGTTAGGTGGAACATATAAAGATCAAAGATCAACTTCCCGCTATTGCTCATTTGTGTGGGGGAATTTAGTTACATGTAGAAGCCAGAAGAAAAGAGTTGTTTCATGAAGCAATGTTGAGTCTGAACTAAGAGCTCTGGCTCAAGGAAAAGCGGAGGAGTTGTGATAGACCGACACAAATGAGCAATATTTATGGCCATGTTTATGGCAGCCTTATTATCACAATGGAGCTTCAATGGTGAGCTTGCTTCATTAAAGAAAAAGAAGAAGGAATTCTATGTTTAACTTATTTACCTGCAAAGTTGCAAGCAGTTGATGTTTTAAATAAAGGGTTACTTAGACCTGCATTTGAGAATTGTATGAGCAAGTTGGACATGATAAGCATCTATGATCCAACTTGAGGGGGAGTGTGGGAATATCTGAATTTATTGTAAGTATTAGGACTGATTATTAAGGATATTCTAGCCTAATCATTAGGGCTCATTGCTAATTACGAAGAGTTATTAGTATTTATTAGTTTTGTCTCTAAACTTTGTGTGTGTGTGTGTATTGGTTGTAATTCATACTTTAAGATCAATGAGAGAAACATTTTGTTTCTAAATTTCCACAAGTAGTAATTAATATAAGCACATGTGTAAAATGAAAATAATTAAACACACCTTTACTTCAGATCTCCGCAGCGTCTTGATCATGAAACGATCATCTTGAGACAGGAAAAAGACACTACCACTTTTTCCAGGAGAAGATAGTTCCCTCAGAGCGTCATTTCCGCATATGGACATCATGTAGTCAGCAGCATCAATCTTAAACAACTCCCTCAAATTTCTGTAAGAGGTATTGATGAGATCATTATTACAAACCAGAAAGAGAAAATAGGGCCTGTGACAGCTATTCCTGCCAACGTATAACTCATAATTAGAAAGCACAAAAGGCCAACTGCTGTGATTGCAATTAATGTTTCCCTAATTACTATTCCCTTTTTCCTTTTGTCAGTGTTCTTAAAGAAAAATAATGTATGATTATTGTCTTTTACATCCCACAAAACTAATCACGCTGAACACTAAGTCTCCCACAAAGTATAACTCAACATCCAATGATCCTGCTCAGATTAATTCATCAGCCAAATGAAATATACACATTAAGAGAGTACTCTAAAGGCATTCATGCAAGTAATGCAAGAATTTAACAAGTAGCCAATATGATTTAATAAATAACTCCATGATTATGACTTATTGTTGAAGAACAACTTTGCACTTGCACTAATGTCATAAAGGACTGTAATCTGACGTGGATACAAGAAAGATGAAAGAAATTTATGGAGCATAAGATGACATGAAATGTTTCAGATTTTCTCACCATACGCTGTAGAAGTTATGACTAAAAAGGGGGGAGGGGACAAATCCTGTAGCAGGGTGCAGATTTTCAGAGAGTTCCGTGGTGTATTTGGCAGGTGCGGGATGCTTGTATCGTCAAGGGCCCATCTCTACCCTCACATAACTTACGAGATAAAATTGTGCTTAAGGCTACTCATTTTTGTTCTGCTCATGGTTGGATCAGAGAATTTTTCATTTCTAATGTGCACAGATATTTCATAGCTTTCTTGCTTTCTATATCCAATTTTGGCTCTTCAGTTTCTTTAGTTCTAGCGTTTTGGAGGGCACCCCATCTCTCCGGAAGTTGTATTTTTTCCCTCAACACCCTACTGAAATCTTCATGCTATCCAAAAATAAAACTAATGACAAAAGATCTAGGGAAAATTCCATCTCTCTGGATAAGATAGAAAATACTATTGGTAGATCAAACTTCTTAACTTTAAGAGAGCAACATAAAAACTGAAGAATCAGCCATACATTTGCTGATGTAATCTATATCCATGGTAATATTGTGAATCTGTAAGTAGTGATAGGGAGTAATTATTCAAAACAGGTACTGGAAGTGTGAATAATGTATACATGTCCTCCTCTTATCCAAAAAGTAAAAAACATCTTGTCCAGATCTATGATAAGCCAAGAAAAACTACTTAATTCAAGAGCCAAAGAAGCTTACCAAGTCTAGATAATGCCTGGTAAGTAAATAAATTATACAAAAGCTACTTAAGCAGTTACAGCTTAAAGTTGCAAAGGGTTAACTATTAACCTGAATACCATTGGACAGTAATCTTTCCATTTAAAATCCTCCGATTGATGAGGAGGTGTCAATTGAGAACCCTCTCTGGGAAAATTCATCCAAAAGCTTGCTCTGGGACCAAAATCTGACATGCGAACTTCTCGTCTCTGTATGGGTGTAATCTTTCCTACTGTATATCTAACCATATCAAAATGAATCTTTACATCAGCAGTGGAAAACCATGTAAAAGCAAATAAAAAGCAACACCAGGACAACTATTCAGCTTCTGGCTTTAGTATGAAAGCATGCCCCTATTATTTATGGTTGCCTCCTGATGCTCTAATACGCAAGTCAGCAAAAGCAAACAGGATATGACCCTTAATTCTACAGTAGCAGGGAAACATGAGAAGCAAACATCTGTCGACTCAAGGTAAAGATTGACTTAGTATTCCTTTCTCAAAACAGATTTTTTTTTTTTAATAATTACATTTTCCCTCTACACTGCACTGGGGAGGTGATCTTCATAGTTCGTTATTCTTTTGCACTGAATCAATAATTTAATTTATATGTAGAGTTCGAAAAAAGAAAAGCTGAAGGCAGAAAATAAATATTTTCAGTTTATCTTGGAGTCAAATAACTCGGATCTAAATTTCTGATCTCAACAAAAAATTACTGAAACACCCAACAAGGGAAACGTAACATGACTGTCGACACAGTTAAATATGTCCATAAGGAAGACCTATTGATATCACTGTGTTAAGATCTTCCTTTAACAAAGGTTCTCAAGAGCGCCATTGATAAAAACACACAAACATGGGAGTATGAGATCAAAACTTTGAAGTGTTGAAACACCTTGGAATGTTTCCATGTGCATTAGAAATCAAGCAGACACTTGCAGAAAGCAAAATCTTATAGCATTGCAGTGATTCATAAAAAATACTTAAGCAAAAGAAGAGGAAAACAAGTTAGTATAGAGACTTTTACCTTATTCCAAGCTGCAAGCTGAGCATTAAATCATAACTCCTGTGACCTTTGATGATTGCTTCACCAGGCCTTTTAATATCTCTAGCAAGTTTTTTTTTAAGCCGTCTTGCCCTTCGGGATGTTGAAGAAAAACTATTATTTAATACTAGCTCACTTATTAATACCCCTTGCATATACTCCCGTTCCAAAATTGGGATCTTTGAATTAACTTCTTTATCTCCACTTTCAAAGACAGATTCTGTTAAACCTAATGTTGAATCATGCCCAATAACTTTCTCAATAGATACCTCAAGACTCCACCGCCTTTCAAGAGAAACATTTCTGCCGTGAGACTGTTCCAGATTTAACAGGTTTCCTTTTAAAAGTTTATCAGATGAACCACGACTTGATCTGTGGTTGTCACCAACCTTGACAGCTCCCATATCAACTGAAGCGGCATGATGAATATGTGCCTGGTTCTGTTTTCTCAAATCTGGTAATAACCCTCTTTTTCTCAAGGCACTGAGGTAGACTTCTTGCACAGATGGTAGACGGCTTCCCTGAGGATAATACGTTCCTTTGCCATCTTTTAAACCCCTTGTCCAGGTTCCAACATAGCAGCCTCCATCACTCCATGTATATGCTCCAAATCCATGCATCATACCATTTAGCCAACTTCCTTCATATGAATCCCCATTTATCCAGGTGAGAGTTCCTTTTCCTGACATCTTCCCACCTTTCATATTCCCTAAATATACATTTCCATTGACCCAGGTATATTTGCCAGGTCCTTCTGGTGTTCCTTGAATCCATGAGCCTTCAAAGACATCTCCATTAGGATACACTTGATAACCCAACCCGTGTTTAAGATTCAGTCGCCATCGACCTCTATAGGTCAACTTATCAGAACCAACATATGTTCCTGTACCATGGATATAGCCACCAGAAACTCACCTTCATACACCACTCCAGAAGACCCTTGTAATTTTCCAATACCATGTCTCATCCCCCGTCTCCATTCCCCCTCATAGATACAACCATCTGACCACACATACTTACCCTTGCCCTCAGGCACGTTGCCAAGAAGGGCTCCGGAATATGACTCTCCATTAGGAAGAAAGAGTTCTCCAATCCTAAAGCCAGCAAGTTCAGAGGAATGACCTGATTCCCCACTGGCCAATATAGATATATGGTCTATACCAGAAACGGCATCAAGAGATCTTGTTCTCTCTGCACAAGGAAGCGCTCCATCCAAGCGATCAACTATGGCCACAGGGCCAGACATGCATAATGACTAAAAGGAAGATTTCCTTATAGAATTATAAGTATCCCAGTTTCCCAACAGCTACAAGACAAGAAGGATTGCATATAGGAAATCTTACCAAGAGATTTACACCTGAAAATTTTTCACCTTGACAGGAGAAGAGGAGTCGAAAAAAATAAATTAGAGGTTTGTTATCACACCTGAAGGAGGAGACTCACATTCTGTTCATTTATAGATGGACGCACAGTTGAATCTTATAGAGCAGTGAGACTAAACAATGTTATTTTCACACAAAGTTTGTAGACAATGACATGCAACCACAGTAATTTGAAAAACAAAAGGCAACTGGAACTGCTTATATAAGCAAAAGTAATGGCAAATTTTTATTACAGGATAACAAATTAATCAAACCAAAGAAATAAGGAGTGCCATCATCCACATGATAGAGGAAGAGTGTTTGTATGGTAAGTTGAAAGGTTCTCTTCTTCTTCTTCTTTTTAGTTTTTGGCCAGCAGTAAGCTGGACATGTTAACTTCTGGAAACATTGAATATGAGAAAGTCACAATTATTTTCCTCTGCAAAGGAGAAAGAATCAAAGAACATATGATTGTCTCATCCAAAAGCCAAGTAAATTCAAATGCGTAGAATTGCCCTTGGCTGTATGCAAAACAGAGTAGTTGCGTTGAGGAAGCATATAAAATGCAGAAAGACTAGAGGCAAAGCTTGCAAATATTAACTTTGTCCTTCCACGACTTCAATAAACGTAGCTCCACATGTTATAGTTGAGTAATATATTTTTTGTTCAGGTTTCCTAGACATTGTAGCGCCAACTTTCCTAAACCAAGCAATAACCAAGAGATGAATACATATTATTTCAACAAAATAGGTTCTCAAAATAACTGATAATCAAACCCACCAGACTCCTGATGAAACAGGAAAAAAAAAAAAAGAATCTTCTTCCGTTTCCAAAAATAACAAAATCTATCAGTGATATCAATATTTTCTATAAATCTTTTGAACATACTGCACCCAGAATATAACAGAAAGGCACAGCCTCAAAAAAGTACACAGCGGCAAGTTCTTAGCCATCAGATAATTGACTGCACATTATTGGAGATAACTGCAAAAACCAAAAGAGCTTGCAACCTATAGCTATAGACAAACTTCCATACCCGTAACTGAACAAGAAAAGAATACACAAGGATTAATGCAGAAAGAGAAGAAGAAGCAGATATCACTACCTTCAGAGGGAGAGAGTCGTGGAGAATTAAGACAGTAAAACACAAGAAATGGTCATTGAAAACTTTGAAGCTTTTTTCTGCTTCCCAAAGTATTGCTTTAGGATCACTCCTGGTGATCATCAAATGGGATCGGATCCCAAGCTGCTCGGCTTTGTCTTAAGCTGGAGATAACCTATATTTCAAGGGAAGTAAATTCTTTCTTAAAAAAAAAAAATAAAATTACAAAAGTACCGCTGCCTCGTCCTTGGATTCCATCACCTGGATGGTGAAAAGACAAGATTATCCACCTGTAAACAGTATGTATATTAATCTGACAGTTAAGTTCAATAATTATTACTCTTTCCATTTAAATTATAAAATATTTTTAAATTAAATTTTATATACTAATAAATTACATCAAATACATCAATAATTTTATTTTTTAATTTAAAAATAAAAATATAAAATTATTAAAATACTCATCACTTAATATATTAAAAAGAGAAATGATGAAAATTAATTATAGAGAAAGAAAGAATAATATTAAAATTAAAGTATTTAATCAAACCTTAATTTACTCAAAATATTTTATATTTTAAAATAAAAAATTTTTTTAAAAATGCTTTATAATTTAAGAGGGAAGGAGTATTATTATTTTATTAATTTAATTATTATTAAATGATTAACCCGAAATGGCAAAATCTTATTTCGTGGTCCACCTTCCCCTGCTGTCATTTTTTTCACAAATTATTTTAATTAATTTAATTTAATTTAATTAATACAAGTCAATGGGCTTGTCGCTGGATGGCCCCAGGGGATGATACAGGACGCACCGTTCTGGGACCGACGGTGTCGTTTTGACCTGGTTTGTACCGTTGCGTTTGATGGAGATGGGCGGATGGCTGTCCCACCGGGCACAAAAAGCCCACTGTATATGAAAGAGGTGGTTTTGAAAAGTAACGTTTATCACTTTTTGTCCACTAAATTTCACACTCTGGAAAAACGACGGTTCCATGCAAAAGTATTGGTTCCCATCTACTGTTGTGGTAACATCGGGTCCGATCTTGTTTGTACAAATTCAGCAGCTGTAGCCTGTAGGTCCATCTACCCCACCCTCAGTGGCTACGAATTACACTAATTAGGTGACTTGGTTCCGACTAACTTTTTCTTGGCCAAGGGTTAATTTATAAGTACGGCTCGTGATGTTGCTTGCTCGTTTAATTTAATTATTATATACGCTTTTTTCTTTCAAAGTTCTCGTGTGAAATGATTATAATATATGTATCTAAGTAAATTAATGAAAATGACATCATTTATGAGATTATGCATGCGTGACAAATTGCATTAAACTCATTAGCTTGTATGCAATGCAATTTTTTTTTTTTTGCTTAAAATATCACCGTCCATATTTTTTTACAGGGAAAGGAAACTTTTATTAATCCCTTAAACTCGCTTCATTTATTTTCTTGGTTTCTTAAATTTATTTTTTTTATTAATATGGTCTCTTGTGTTTTTATAAATTATATCATGTTAGCCATTTATGTTTTAAAACACAGAACGTCTCTCAAATAAATTTAATATGTGAAGTTTGTTGATGACTTAATACATATTTAATTAAATGAAAATAAATTAGTTACTTCTCAAATCAGTTTAATTTTTATTAATAAATCCATTACACCATATTTTGCTCTTTTTTTTAAGAGTTTGTGTTTTCCTTGTTTAAATAATTACACTTTTTTTCATTAATTTACATATTACTATCAATATTCTATTATCCTTACTAGCAGACTTTAACAGTGTTACAAATTAAATTGATATTTAAGAAATTAAATCGATAATAATTAAGTATGAGTAAATAAATTAATAATTGAAATAAATTTAAGTAACTAAAAGTGTTGTTATGTTTTATAGATGTGTTTTTGATTGGGAGTAAATTTTTAATTATTCTCACTGCTGTCGTATTATGTATGATGGAGTACAAAGTTTACTTTCTTGACAAGAAAACAAAAAACAAAACACAGTTTTTAATCCGTGGAGTGGAAACTGGAAAGTCACTTTCCTTTACCGTTCATAAGACCAAGCAATAGCTTTTGGATTGAAGGTGACAAGTTTTGAAAGGAGAGACGCAGTTCCCGAAGGAGATAGAAGTTTTGAAAGAAGTGATCAAAAGGCAAGGAGGGAGACATGAAGAATAATGCACGTAGGAGCAATGATGGGCAGAGCTCGAAGCATCGCCAACTTTGAGCAGGCTAGATTCCAAGCTAAAAGCACGAATAAATCACACAGGAAACTTGTGCCACAAGGTTCCAAATCCACACCACACAACTTGGCCCATGATTTTGTCTCAGGAATTAAGAATTCCAAGGTTCCAGCATAGGATTCAACTTGTTGAATGCATCATTTGTTTTTGTTTTTTTTTCTTGGCCAAAGTGAATGCATCATTTGTTAAATATATAGAATCATTAAGAAAGGCATATGAGGTTGTTTTCTGGATTGGAAAAATGCAGGCCTTTTTGTCTGGCCTCAGGAATATGATATATAATAAATCAAGATTGTACCCACGGAACCACTTTCTGCACAGCTTATTGCCCGAACAAAAAGTGGATCAAGTCTTAATGTCCATTATTATTGGTATACGCTGTTTCCTTTCTCTTTCGACCATGCATATTAAATTAATTTGCATTACATAATTGATGGCTTTCTCTCTTCTGCTTTCCAGGGGCCTACCAAACTTAGCGGCCCATCATTTTAAGATTAATCTATTGAAAATGATATTATGGAAGGCGATTGCATATGCATGAAGATAATTTTTTTTTTATATAACAGATCATAGCATCATTCATGACATGCATTCTCTCTTCCGGTAACTTTCATGAGGGCTGCTGCGCGTCTGCATGTTTAATTTCCTTCATTCTGACTGGCATCGCCAAATATTTTCTTTTTGACACTTAGATCCCAAAATATGAATTTAATGATAGTTAATTTTCAAAAAAAAAAACGCTGAAAAGTAAGTTATGATTATTGATGATGTGATATGAACAGTTGCAACGACTCAGAGTCCCATACATGGAATTGCCCAAGCTTTTAATATTTCCAACTTATATTTCAACAAAATTTTGTGGGATCTGATGGACGTGCTTAAATTCTTGGAACTTATTATTCCCTTTACTTTTTATTTTCTTTCGGTTATCTATGACACTATTAGTGTTAAATTGTTTGGTAGTGAAAAGGAAAAACTTAACATACCGGAAAATGTTTTTTTAAAATTTTCTCGCTTAATGTTTTCAGTGTGCATGGTTCTTGGCTCCCTTTGAGTCGAGATGACGGGAATCTTGGAAGTGGCGTCCGCTATAAAGAAATTCTTGCATGGGGTTAAAGGGTAAAATTATCCTAATTTTTTTTTTAAAAGTGCTTGACACCCTAAATTTTTTTTGGAGTATCTTTGCCTCGAACTTTTTAAAAGAGAGCATTTTTGCTCCACCGTTAAAAATTACAAACATTGACCATAACTGAAGTTTGATCAAGAGTTAAATAGCATATTTACCCATAAATTTTTTTTCAAAGGCGCTGGGTATTTTAAACTTTTGTTTGGAGTTTGTTTACCCTAAAAGTTTCAAAAAGATAGTAATTTTACCCTGCCTTCTTCATCATCATCATCCTCCTCTTCTTCCTTTTGCTCCTTTTCCACTAGCAAGCTTCCATATTACTATGGATTGGAGTCCAAATACGAAGCTAGAAAAAATAAGTGCATGAGATTTGTGAGTCTCATAAGACGTCTCACGTCTGGCTTGATATTTTCACCCCTAGAAATGGTCACTCGAGCCCACAACATCGCCACTTTATCCATCAAAGGCAAATCTACCATTCTTAACATCCCCTATATTGCCTTTGTTCTCCCATGACAATTGCCACGTGCTCCCCGCATAATATCCAAGCTACTGTTTTCGTTACTACCACCATGGTCAATTTTGATGTTGTAAAGCCCTCAAAAGAGTTCGAGTTAAGGTCAAAGCCCATAGAGTCATTATATTGAGTAAGATAATGAAATTGTTGAATATGGAAGAAGAGATCTTCTACATGATCAAGTTCATATGAATTGACTCAACGGATAGTTGAATATTTTCAAGTATAGTATGGTTTGAATGATTTGAAATTACTTGTTGTTCTTGCGTTGTTATTGATGTTAATGGAGGTGTTCTTGTTATCTAGATGTGTTTTTTTTAAAGCCACATAGTTATATATGGCAATTAAAGTCAAAGTAATAGTCAATATTGACAATAGGGCAAAATTTTTTTTTTTTTAAACTTTCAAGGCAAACAAACTCCAAACAAAAGTTTAGGGTACCCAGCACCTTGAAAAAAAATTTCAAAACAAATATATTATTTAACCCTTAATCAAATTTTAGTTAACAGTCAATGTTCATAATTTCTAATGGTGGGGCAAAAATACTTCAAAAAAAATTTAGGGTACCAGGCGCCCATAAAAAAAAATTTTAAGACAATTTTGCCCTTTAATCCTTTTTGGATATCTATAGACCAAAGGTAGGTTAATACTCTATCTGTGTAATAAAAAGAAGTTGAAGAAATTAAATAACCTCTTTAGTCTTTATGCACCACGTGAGCCGCTTCTGAAGTCTAATATGGTGGGAATAATCATCACGCTTAATACGTCAATAGCATTAATCAATAAAGTGATCGAGTGGGTGAAAATACCAGGAAATATAAGTCCAAAAACACACATATAATGTCAAGTGAATAACATTTTTTATGATTCGATGAACATATGAACCCAGGCTTGCTAGGAGACGCAAATCTCGCGTCCTGGATCCAAATTACTTTCAAGAGATTGCTTTCAATGAGGTAGTTCTTAATTTCCCATTATTTGAAATATTATTACGATCTCTATTATATCCATGTCTGCAGCGGAAATAAATTCATAGAGATGTATCATTAGAGGATTAAGTCTTGAAAGATCTGCCAACCAAAATTATATTCACGAACAATGTTGTGGATTTATAATTAATTTACTAAGATCCTCCCCAGCTTCTAAAATTAATTGGCAAGTAATCATATATACTTTGGTTCTAAAGTAAACAAAAAAAAAAATCAGCATCATTTCCTTTAGTTCTAAACAATATAAATCACTTTTTAGAAATATTCTTTCATCCAGAATATAAATTA